GGGCCTCGCGGCTCCGGCCTGCCATCCGGTCCCGGAAATCGGAGCCCTTCCAAGTCTCCGCCCGGCACATCGGAGGGCTTTGAGGTCGGTGGAGGCCGCGCCGTCCCTCTGGGCACCAGACGGAGAAGGGCGGTGTCGGGGTCCAGGTGGGAGCCCCAGTCCTTGTGGAGCCTGAAGTCTCCCCCGCGTGGCTCTGCCCGACCCCGCAGAAGGAGAGGCTCGGAGTGCACAGGGTGGCACGGGCGCGCGGTGACCACACAGCGGATCGCAGCCGCCCGCCAGGTCTGCAATGCTCTGAGCAAATTCGGAGGAGGGAAAAAAGCGACATCTTTTCTCCTGCAGCCATTTTTCTCCATGAATGACGACAGGAAAGCAGGAGGCTGTCAGACATTGTGGCAAAATGCATAAAGATGGCCTTTCTAGGACGCGTACCCAAGTCTCCGGCTGGCAGCTGTTATAGCTGCGACTTCCTCTAAGTCTAGGGCTGCGTGTGTAAAAGTGTAACACTTAATGCCAGAAAAAGTGAAATAGCTCGTTAACGATTTTATATTGATTCTAGGTTGAGATTGTATTTTGGCTATGGCAGGTTAAACATTCAAATCAATTTCACTTCGGTGTTTTTAGTTTTTAATGTGACTTTTAGAAACTTACAAATTATAGATCTCGTCCATTATGTCTCTGTTGGACAGTGTTGGCATAGGGGCCCGGCCTCTGCCCTAAATCCACCAAGTTATCATAAGGGTCTTGCTTCTCAGACTATTTCTTTTATCCAGTGCCTACGTATGAATATCCCTGCTTTTTGAATGGTCACAGGACCCAGAGGCAACATCAGGGTTACTGCTGAGGCCTGGGGCAGGAGGCAGGAGAGAAGCTGCTCTTTCACTGACCACCCCCGCCCCCCTTGGTGAGGACCACTGGCCTTTCTCCAGGGATGAATGGAACGGGGATTAAAGACAGGGCCTCGGTCATATAGGATTTCACCCTTGTAGGTACAAAGAAGGACTGATAAACTGAGCCCTAAGCTGGCAAGCAGGAAAGGAAACTTGATAGCCTTGAGCAGGCCTGGTCGTGTTCTGGGAAGAAAACATTGCAGTCAGATAAATCCGAGTTTGGTTTCAGGCTGTGCCATCTCCGGTAATTGACTTAAGCTCCATGAGCCTCAGTTTCCTCTGGCATAAAAGGATAAGCAGGACTGTGTTAAAAAATAAGTAACAGAAACAACAATAGCAAACGTGTGTAGCACTTACTGTGTTCTGAAGCCTGTTCTAAGTGCTTTAGACATGATAATTAGTTTAATCTTACGATACTTCTGTGATGTAGGTGTTATTATTACAGAAAGAACATGAGACAGGAAGTCAAGTGATTCACTGAAGACCACACAGCTAGTGTGGCTCAAGCCCAGGTGGTGCTCTTAAATCACTGTCCTTTGCACATATAGATAAAGGGCCTAGTACAGATGGGATATGCTAAATAAATGTCAGATGCTTCCGCTTCTCCCCTTCCTAAACAGCTGCCCAACTGCAGAGTTCAGTCAGCATGATATATGCCCCACTGTTAGTGCTACCTTCCTAAGGCAGTTAAGACACTTCAAAGAAGGAAACAAGCAAGCTGGTGACATTG